ATCTATCCCGAGCCTTCGGTATAACTGGACCGCCATACGGGCCTACAATCTATTCGGACCGCTCGTAGGGTATGTTGGCCTTCAGCACAAAGCAGGACCGCCTCAACCCAAACATCAAACAAATAACCATGTGCACATATAATAGGTAATCACATAACAGTCCATAGACAAACAAATCGATCTAGCATATCATAAATCATAGCAACATCCTAACCAAGATACCGACCTAACCGATCACTAACATAGTATCATCCTATATACCGGGATACCGACCTAAACCATGTCACTAACATAATATTGTCCTAATTACCAGAACGCCGATCTAAACATATCAGTAAGCACATCAAACAGTACACGTACAAATAGCAGATATAACTATCGCACAGATCATCGATCATAGTACTCTCTCATAACCAAAACACCGACCTAACCAGGTCACTAACATACCAATCCTAACGGATCATAAGAGCATGACAACATACTGTCTATCCAGATATCGATCTAACATATCATAACCAAATGTAGCATACTGTAACCATGATAACACTAAAAGGGCCGACCTTGGTGCCTTAGACCCTATTGATATATTGAGGATAGCTTACCTTGCAATTGCCGAACCGAAGCATGAAAGCACTGGCCCGAAGCACTGCTCCAAACTCCAACACCTTATGCCATCAATAGACCATGACATAAATATTCAAAATACATAACACCCCTGAAGGTCAAACAGGTCAAAGTCAAAGTCCTTGCCAAAGTCAACCTTCCTAATTGACTCTACTCGCCGAGTCAACCCGTCGACTCGTCGAGTTCTTATACTCAGAAAACTCCCATAACACGACTCAACCCGCCGAGTTGGCCCAAGACTCGTCGAGTTCACCGATCTCTGAATTTCATCATGTCCAACTCACTGAGTCGCCAATCGACTCATTGGTCCGAAGTTTAACCACAAGAGATTGGGGTTCTGCAACCTGACTCGCCGAGTCCAAGAACAGACTCGCCGAGTTGTTCTTCCAACTCGTCGAGTCCATGCCCATCTTCATATGACTCGTTGAGTCCCTTCAGTCCTTCATCCATACAGAGGCTTTTCGAGCCATGCAGGGGCTCCAAACTGTAGATCCACTCTTCTAGGGCATAACCCCTACGTAAAGTTGCAAACTTTACGTGAAACCAAGGAGTTAAAGGTCTGAATCACTCTACGACTTGGTTTTTAGACAAAGGGGCTTCACCAACAACTCATTGACTGGTGCTTTATGACATTCTGGACCAACTCAAGTCTATATTTGAAGTAGCAACCTCAGATCTAAACTCCAAACTCGAAATAGGTCTCAAACATACCCAAAATGGCCCCAAATCTCTCTCATGAATAGATCTAGATGCAAAAGAGTGAAGGTAACAGATTATTACCTCCAAGATGTGCCCAAACTAAAGTAGATTCTGGATACACACCACTCCCTTGATGCAAGCCCTTTTTGATCTTCAAGTTTCTTCCACAAAAGACAACTTCCAAAGCTTCAATCTCCCTCCAAAGGCCTCACACACACGAGCTTAGGGTTTTCTAGTTCTCAAGGGAAATAAGGAGGCTGAGAGAAGGACATAAAATCCTTTAAATAGGGTGCAACCCTCGAGATTAGGGTTTTCTCATTCCATCACCAACTCGTCGAGTACAACTTCCGACTCGGCTAGTTGGTAACTTAACTCACGATCAAATCCCGCTCTGACTTGACGAGTAGCATACCTACTCGTCGAGTAGCTTAATTTACACTTTAAGCCCTTCACTCATATTTCTGGAATTTGGGATGTTACATATTTTTAAATATCATCACAGAAAAGTCTTATACATTAGTTAAAATTATTAAAATAGATAAAAATTATTGTTTCTCTATAATATCCTAAAACATTAGTTAAAATTATTAAAATAAATTATATTGTTTCTGTATAATATCCTAAAAATTTATAGTTTATATACATCAATGGCCTTGGCCTAAGACTAATCGGAGTAGACAATGTTCACTCCCGTTTTTATGACCTAGAAACCAAAAAACAGCTGAAAATGTCGTTACCATGGTTGCCCCCCCCCCCCCCCCAACATGGCGTTTTTTAGCATTATGTGGTTTCCCGTATTCACGGTAACGAGTGACAACGGGGCGTTCGTCTCATTTTCTTCCTCTGTTTTCTCCACCTCAACGTAGTTGCTCCATTTCTTCCTCCTTGTCAGTGGTGAGGCTACGTTGCTCCAAAGGGTGTCCATGGACACCCCTTGTTTTGGAATTCTTTTTTGTTGATTATATGGTAGATCCGAGATAGACACATGTGGCATCACAAACTGGACACCTGTGGCAACTTGCAAACAAAAACAAAGAGAAAAATTCTAACAATCCATGGGTTTTTTAAAGAGAATTTCTAAGAGTGTGATTTTTATGATTAAAAAGGTTAGAAGGTATTTAACAAAAATAAATATTTCTATAGATATCATAATCAATTTATAATAATTCCAAACTTGTAAAATATAAGATAATTGAGAAGATAATCTCTAACAGGATGAAAAAAGTTAAAACCCTAAATAAAATTTTTTTTCGCTTTTTTGCGTGACCGGGTCTTTGCTGAACCTTTCTACTTCCTTTGTTGTCACCCACTCGGCTTCACGAGTCATCAACATCAGCCTTCGTGTCTTTTAGTTGTTGTGCTGAAGCATTCTCCGCCCCGATTTCTTTGTCAACACCACATCTGTGCTCAACATCATCCTACCGCTTGGTAGTTGGTACCCACCAAAGAGCTTCTAGCCCAGCGGTATCCGGTGTTGTCCTCCCTCTTTTAAGTTGAGGGTTCAAGTCCCGTCGTGGACATAAATGAATTTAAGGTGTAATTTAGCAGAATGTTAGATTTGTCGTTCCAAAAAAAAAGTTGGTATCCATCTCCTACACCTTATGAGTTCTTCCGTTTTATTGGATCGACAATAGCTTCCTCTGGTATCTCCTGTGTATTTTATTTTGAGGTCTTATTTCACACTTTCATTTACTCTTTCTTCTAGTATTTAGTCCTTTAATTGCTTACCCCTAAAATAAATCAATTGTTGCTACACATAAGTAAAATAAATCAATAGTTGTATTACCTATCACTCAAAGTCTAGAAACCAAAATATAGTGTAGCATTTTTCGTAATTAACCAGACATATATATTAGGAAGCAAACAAAAATTTCAACTTATGATCAATTATCAAATGTTATGTTATTTGATTTTGGAATTTAGTTATTTAGCTTAAAGTGAAATAGATTGACTAAAATTTTTGAAATAGTTTCAAATGTATATTTGTTTATTGATTTAGTTTGTATATGGTGTTAGCTATTTATAATCTTGTTAATTTTGTACAGTAAAGATGCGTAGTAATTAGGAATATCTACTTGTAATACATTTACTAGAATATATTAAATTTTGTTTCATCATTGTTATATTATATTTGTATTAAGTTGAATTATTGAGAACTCTACCCAATCACCAAAACTTTATAAGTTGTTTATTTTGACACATCATTCAATTTGGATATACTTGAGTTTGAATCATGTATTCGTCACTGCTCCTTATCAACCCCCGTTTCCTTCAAGTAGATGATGATCTGGCAGCACAACATCCATCAACGGTTGTGCCCATACCTAAGCAACTATGAAAGAGTTTGAGGAAGGCAATTAGGCTTTGGACATTTTGGCTCAATGTAGTGAAATAACAACAATCTAACACCATTTTGTTGGGAAGAGACGAATTAAATAGCCCAAAAGTTTTATTAAATGGAATTTAAATTAGTGAAAAATAAATTACTAGCTATTTTTTTAAAATAAAAAACACATCTTCAAACATATATTGATAAAATTTTGTATCATTATTATAAGGTTTTGGAAGTGGAAAAAGAAATACAGCATTCATATTTATAAACTCACTTTTTTTAAATACAACAGTGATATTTTACGTTTTTTTTTTTTTTTTTCTTTTTCTAAACTGCGATTGGCCTAAAAGAATGTATTAAGATCACATGTAGTGGTCTTTGGATTGGATGTAAATATGACTTGATTTTCCATATACTTTTTTTTTTTTTTTTTTTTAATAAATTTATTTATTTATTATCTTAGTGCATGTAAAAAAGTTACTTTTTAACAACTTTTTTGCGACATTATAGGAAATTCCTATTACATAGTGATTATTGAACCAATAACGCGTGATTTCATTTATGGTGTCTTTTCAATATAGAAAAATAAACGCTGCGTTAATTTTTTTAGTATGGAAAATGAAACCTAGGGTAATTTTATTATGTGTTCATCGGTGCATTCAGGTTAATATATATGTAAATATAAGATTTCAGTTAAAGATGTTAAATGATGATTAAAAGTCTCAACCGTTCAAAAAAATCATAAAAAGTCTCAAGTACGAAAGTAAGTTTATCAACTCCAAGAAATATTGATATCTTAAACGTAAAATATAAAAACCATTTGAATTTATACAACCATAATTTTACCCAATTTTTTCTTTTCTTGATTACAAAAATGTATTTCATGCCTAAAAGTTAGATGCTTTAAAAACATCATAAATTAAATAAAAATAAAAAACCATTAATAGACTGTAAAGTTCATGCAAAAAGTTTGAAAACAAAAGGCTCCAATCAAGAATAGTTAGCCCCTTTCCTAGACGTGAAATCTCCACATACAAAACAATTTACAACTTTGTCTGCATGCAATACAAGGGTCATCAAAGTACTAAGTTGGATGATATAAATTCATCTCTGGAAAAATAATCATTAAATCCATAGATGTGTTGTCATTTATTCGACAGCCTCTTACATTTGAATCGTCTTTTTCGTAAAAAATTCATGCATTATTAATTTACTATTTTTTTTAATTCTAATAATATATATAAGAAAAATAACGTGTATATGAAGATCTTGTGTTGGATTTGTTAAATTAAAATAGTTAAGTGCGTATTTAGATCTACAAATAGCCCATTAATTATAAACACCATGTAACTTGATTGAAAGTAGTGCTTCGATCCATGGCTTCCATGTTTATCTCACTTCTCATTTTCTCATTCTTCTTCTTTCTTGGAACTCCATTAAGCTCTAACTACTACCAGAATACATGTCCAAATGTAGAATCAATCATCAAGAAAGTTGTATCCGATGCCACAAGGAATGACAAAACAGCCCCGGCTGGACTCCTTCGAATGCACTTCCACGACTGTTTCATAAGGGTATGCATAAACTAACAACCATTCCTTATTTAATTTGGAAGCATCATATATACATACTTACATGCATCTTTTAGATGATATATGTTGTGTTTACGGGATTTTCGTGGTGTATTGAAGGGATGTGATGGTTCCGTGCTTTTGAATTCAAAGGGTAAGAACACCGCCGAAAAAGACGGACCCCCGAATGTTTCTCTACATGCATTTTATGTCATTGATAAAGCGAAGAAAGCGGTTGAGTCTGTGTGTCCTAGTGTTGTTTCGTGTGCTGATATCTTAGCATTAGCCGCAAGAGATGCAGTTGTGTTGGTAAGCTTAAAAAACTATTTTGTATCTAAGGTCTCATACTGTGTTTGACATTTATTAGACGTCTGGAGTGAGACTTTAATGTGACCGAAACCGATGTCAATAGATTCAAAAAGGTGAGAACCATGGGACAGAGTTTAGCTTTTGAACTGTACTCTGTGCAAAAAACATGAATATCCTCTTGATACTCATCATTGAAAAAACATTACATATTCAATTAGACATTGTTTGGAATGTATAAGTTAGCTTATTGCAATTTAGTGTTTAGCGATATCAATAAAAATAGCTTATAAACTAACTTTCTAAAAATCTATTTGAGTTAAGCTCATGGGCTTTTTGGCTTTTTCCACAAGTTTTCCAAATGTACCATTACATGTTAGATTTAATTATACATCTAATTAAATATCATTTTGTGTCATAATACATATTTTCATCTAGTTTATTAGTTAGTTTATATCAAATGCTATTTCTTTCTGTTTTTATCGTTTAGCTATGAACTACCATGTAGCTTATAGGCAAAAATTAGTTTTTCAGCTAAAAAGTATATATTTAGTAAGTCGGTCAAATAGAGCTTTAATGTGCACAAGAGAAAGTGTGTTTCTATGTTTGGAGTTATTGTAATGTAGGCTGGAGGACCATCTTGGGATGTACCTAAAGGAAGAAAAGATGGAAGAATATCTAAGGCTAGTGATACCAGCCAACTACCAGCACCTACCTTTAACATATCTCAACTTCAACAAAGTTTCTCTCAAAGAGGTCTTTCTTTGGAAGATCTAGCAGCACTTTCAGGTATTTTAACTTCAAGGGTTAAATGCATAATTATGCGATGACGTTTCATCATTTTGTTGGTTTATGCAAAGGCTGGCTTTATACGATATATGCAAGGGCATTTCATTAAGGATAAAAGGATGGATGCACTAGCTTTACCGGTTGAAACATGGCTCCAATTGTATAAATTTGGTAGAATAATCAAATATTATGGCATAAATTGGTAGAAATCTCAGACATTGTTGTATAAATTGCTAAAATGGTGTTTAATTCATTTTTTTTTTACTAAAAGCTAAGCTAAACCGAAAAAATGATTTGTAGCAAAAAAAAACCCGTCATATTTCAGTTTTTTTTTTTTTTATTTCTAGATTATACAAAATCGGTTTTTGATTTTTTAAATTTCAAGTTTTTGGGGTTCGTTTTGCATCTATATATTTAGGATAGCTATTTATGACAAATGTTTAATAAATACTAATATTAAATAAATAAATGAATTAATAATAACATATACCTAACGTTTCGGTTTAATAAATAACAAAAACCATACCAATAGTTTTCAAAATAATATGGTTTTTCTGTTTTTCGTCTAAAACCAATTTATTACATAAACTAAGAAAAAATTTAATTGTTAATAAAACAAATGTCAAGTTAACCCTAATTTACATTCCTTAGGTGGACATACACTTGGGTTCTCTCATTGTTCATCATTCAACAACAGAATCCATAACTTCAACTCCACACTTGACATCGATCCTTCGCTCCAACCTTCATTTGCTTCAAGTTTAAGACGATTTTGCACAACCAAAAACAATGTAAATAATGCAGGAGTCGCAATGGATCCTTCATCTACTTCTTTTGATAACACATACTATAAACTGATATTCCAACACAAAGTTCTATTTTCATCGGATAATGCTTTGCTCAGCACCCCTAAGACCAAAAATTTGGTATCCAACTTTGCAAGCTCAAAGGATGCGTTTTTTAAAGCATTTGTAAAGTCTATGATCAAGATGAGTAGCTTCAATGGTGGCCAGGAAATTAGGAAGAATTGTAGGTTTGTAAACTAAGTGTTTTCCCTATTTATGATGTATATAAAGTATTATAGGGCTCTTGGATTGTATTTAGAAACATATGTAAACTATATGCAAGTTATAGCAAGTATGCTATGTAATTTAGCCAAAATTCTAAAAGAAAATTGTGTTCGTAAATGCTACCTAAGGGCAACCATAATACATTGAACTTCATAAAGTTCAATAGATTACCACATCATCATTCTACATTCCATAAAACTTTATCATTTTTTTCATGCAATGTCTTCAACTCTACAAAGTACAACTAGACTTGTCATCTTATTCAACTCTACCATGGAACTCTTCATTATGGATGCTCTAAGTTCCACTTCTTTGTTTTGTTGAGGTAACCCGTAACCCAATGTTTTTTTAAGAGGTATAATATTAATTATTTACTTTCATTTAATTTATCATTGTGAGATTTTTTGTTGTTTTTTCATTATTATAAAATTTATAATATTTTGTTGATGTAGCATTAATGTGAGTACATGATCCGAGTAATTTATTAAAATAAACTTTGTATAACCTGTTTACAACACGCTTAATTAATGTAACATCGTGATTTTTCACCCAAAAATTTTCTTTTATTTTAACCAATTATTATCAGAAAATCATTAAGTCTTATAAAAACATCACCAATAGTTAATTTGAAAATCTTTAAAAAAAAAATAACCCATCAAAATCTATAGTGGTATAAACCTAAAAACACAAACACTAAAAGCAAGTGTAAATGAAACATCATAAGAAGTCTCAAACTGGTATCATCACTACTAATCAAAGGACTATAACTACCCATAAGAACCCAACCTCACCAGGCCATCAATAATCAAGCTACATGTACCAATGCAAAGCCACAACAACAGGCAAGAAACAAATGGCAGCATCAACACAGTGATTCAATCTCAAACATATAAGCATGGAAATAAAGCATACACATATGTCATGTTATGTCATGCAACACATCAATCTATGCAATATTCATCGATAACTATTAATATACACATTAATACATACATTCTTTCATCATAGTAATTATTAATTTATTTGCTTCACTATAATTACTATTTACTATTAGTGTCCCTCGCTAAACTAGGGTCTATTGCATCACTAAAACATCCCCAAATAAAGACCCTATTCACTACTAACGTGACCTGGCGACCCACTACACCAAATTGGGCGCGACTCCCACACATAACACCGTCCCTCGTTCTCTGCCTTCGCTACTCCGACTTTACATGCACAGGCACAATGCGTTGTCATTATAGGGTGGTATCTAGTACCTCCACGAGTACACCTACACCCAAACATGATGTTTGTACATGGATTCCAAGATCACCAACATCACTCCAATCCCAGTATACCCATGTACACCACGATCATGCCTCGAAATGGTCAGGTAGAAAACCATCTGACACCGTCTTAGCTTAAGCTCTTTTCCTTTAACGATATCCTTCCACCGTGATATCTTGTAAGGGCACGTACCTAAGTTAGGTTACTACCCTTTAACCCTACTATGTGCATTTCCCCTTTTATTTAACTAATTAGATAATTAAATAATTTTTCTTTCACATGGGTAAAACACACACCTCACCAAGTATCATTATGTAATCATGCAAGTGAATTATTATTATAATTAATTCATGGCCTACTACATCTTCCAAACACACATCCAATGTATATCAATACAAATATACTTAACAACATGTGATAGCATATGATGAGATACACCTTTCAATCAAACAACATCTAGCATGCATATCATAGTTTCATTTAAAGGTGACAAAACAGAAAATATAGCATGCGTAACATCATAATATAACCACACAAAAGTCCCCACGTCTAGCATGGACCTAGCCCTCTCAATTTGCACCAAATGTTTAATTTAAGAACGCTAGCATACAAGGTTTCCTAAATTCAATTGCATTCATAAATAACTTTACATATCTAGGTTATATTGTCACACCCCCAAACCAGAACGGCAGAAACGTCTGGGGGCGGATGACTTCATGTACAGTATCATAACGATTGAATATGAATGAAACATAGCAACCAAACATCATACATTACAATATACCAATATTCATTGTCTTACAAATTGTACTTGTTTATCAGTTACACAAAAAATAACATAAAGCATGGTTGCTCAAAAGGTAGTAAAATAATCCCGATCCAAGGCTCGATGTAACGCCCGTGTTTCTAGGCTAGACATTAATGATGATGTAACATTCTAGGTTAACCTTTGTAAATCGTTGTGAAATAATTAAAAAAATGTATTATTTTGAGTGTTATGTGTTTTATGCTTAATTGTGTAACTTAAATGAATTAAGAACAAGAATAAGCATAATAATAAAATATTAGATAAGCCCGATATCTATGAAGGAAGTTGTAGTGGTCGTGGCAAGGTTTCCGAATATATAAAGAATTTCGAAATCCGAGTTATAACGAAGAAATTATGACCTGTCGAAGTTTCGCGACAGAACCAGTACGACACTGCGTGACGTAAATAGTGAATTTACGTAAGAGCAATATTTAGCCTTAGTGATCTAAACAAAATTCGTAGAATACGTTAAACCGAGAGCGTGCATAAAAAGAACGTCTAAATCTGACTTCGTATGAGGAAGTTATGATTTTTCGAAGTTTCAACTTAGCGGTATGCAGCCCAAAGTTTTAATATGAGATCGAGTGGTTTCTATCCGAAACAATCTAAATGAGAATCAAAGATCTCGTCGATAGTAGTCCAACGGTAAAAAGACAGACGAAAACGGACGTCAGATGAAGGAGTTGTGAATTCCTAACAATGTTTTCCTGTCCCGGCCTACTAAAAATAATATAATCAAAATTAGCCGATGGAGTCTAAATGAGAGTTGTAGAGCATAATCTCACCTATGCGTGCATATAAAGAACGTCGAAAACGGAGCTCGTATGCGAAAGATATGAATTTCTGAAATTCGAGGCACGAACCCCGACACTGTGTCAGAGTTCACGACGTGAACTCAGAGATGACGTCTCCTGGAGCCTGACAAACCCAAGTTGCGATGACGCACCTGATGAAGACTGAACTCACGACGTGAATATTTGAGATTCACGACATGAATCCAAAAAATCATCCCTATAAATAGAAATCGAAGGGGCAGCCGATTTTGGTTGCTACTTTCTTACTCTCTCACTCCCGATACCCTCTCTAGCTGTCTTGAAGCACCCTCAAAGCCTCGATATCATCCCGACACCCGAAGCAAGTCCCGAAGCACCGAAGATCCCGAGAAGAAAAGAGTTTTTGAGCCGAAGCTCTGCCCGCGAGAATCCCGGTGTGTGAAGATATCCCGGTTTCACCAAAGAATGCTGCTTTAAGAGCCGCAGTGATGTCCGATAATTTTCTTATCAAGTGAGTGTGTAGTTGCTTTCTTCAAATACATAGATATGAATTATTCTCTATAAAATACGTGTTATGTGTTTGTATATTATCTGTTATCTGGAATGATTATTGACTGGATATATTATACAGGTTTTAAGGATGTATAAGTATGTATGTGTATATATATATATATATATATATATATATATATATATATATATGTTATCTACAAAACTGTTGGGTATAACATGGGTAGATAATTGATGTGTGATGAAATAAATTGATGAGAGACCTCGATGTTGTTGTTGATCTAGTCATCTAGCGGAGTATAGATGACGACCACAGACTCTTTCTAGACTGTCCAGTGGAACACTGGCAGGTTTGTTCACCGGTGTACTCTATCCCCCTCATGGTTGCCTTTATGACATCTATTGTTGAGGAAACCCCTTTGCAGTAATGTCCATCCCGATGAAAATCCTTAGACTAGGTCCCTTGTGATAGTTGTTGTTTTAGGGACGTAAAGTGAGGATAATGAGAATGGGTAATTGGGTTATTGTTGGTTGGTGAAATTAAATATAATTATTTATTGTGGGTTGAAAACCCTATATGCTCACCAGGCTCCCAAGCCTGACCCACTCAGTTTTATTTGTAATTACAAGTAGTGGTGCGAGAGCATAAGTTGGACAACTTGTGAAGATATTTTGTTTATAGGCCAGTAGTTGTATATAACTGTTGTAAGGCTTATAATGTGTCGTTTATGCTTTTGGTCTGTATAGGAACATGACATCCCGAGTTTTGTTATATATGAAAATACATTTCTTTAAAGAAATGCTTTGATAAATTTTATCTTATCATATTTTGTTTTGGGAACAAATTCCACAACTCTTTTAATCAAAGGATTACTTTGAAATAATTTTAAAAGCATAAATTAAATCGGTCTTTTCTGGCCGTGATTTTGGGGATGTCACAGTTGGGAGCATTAGTTTAAGCGAACTAGGAATTTGTAGGATTTCTAGACTAAAACTTAGAATGCTAAGTGAAGATTGTCTGTTATATTTAAGACACGAGCACTAGTTTATTTTAGGAAAGTTGCCTAAAATGCTTTTATGTGCTAAATGCAATATGTTTGCTATATATGATATTAATTGTTCAGATCTAAGGTTTGTTGCCAACTGGATTTGAAAACCTTATGTGTTTAGGATTCTAAGCGTAGGATTACGGTATTAGAACTAGCATGTAAACGTTTCAGAGTGTTATGGACGATTTAAATATCTATCGTGAATGAGGATCTAAATTCACCTTATTCGGTGTATAGATCAAGAGTGGCAAGAACAAGAAGCGGAGTTGGAAACGTGAACGAAAACAAGAATCAACCACCTGTAATCGAGCAAATAGCTGTTGTAGCAACAGCACCTGAGCCAATGACAATGGTTGGTGTACAATTGATGATTCAGACGATGTTGGATCGTCAGATGGAAGAAACTAGATGTCTGCTTTAGCAGAATCGCGAAGAACCTTCGATGCCGATTGTATAGCTCGAATTAAGTGAAGGGCAGTCGGAAGGAGGAAACTTCAGTAGGATTATTGGTCAAGCCAACCCACCGTTGGTTAGAAATAACAACCCGGATGGAGGAAATGATGGACGAGGATGCAAGTACAAAGATTTCATGGCATCCAAACCACCATGTTTATCCGGAAGCGCTACACCGGTAGAAGTTATAAACTGGATCTCCGAAATGGAGACAATGTTTAAAAG